AAAGTATATGTCTCTCAAAGAATTCATGCATTTGCTAATGCACATTTTCAAATTTTAATTTCTTTTCCCACATTTTATAATCTGCATTCTTCACAATTCAAAACTACAAATGAGATTGCAAATGAAACACAGATGGTTTTTTTTTTTTTTTTTCAAGTAAAGGTTACCTGCAAATTGATCACCCAATGGTTAATGGACAAAAAGCATTGGGGTGGGGTTTGAGCCATCCACTTGCCGTCCTTTTCAGGACTTGAAGGCCTGCAACTTTGAAGATCTTGAAGAAGAATTTGTGAGGGCATTTGGGTCTGTATGCTCCCCGGCAAACCCAATATGTCAGCTCTGCGGTTCGCGGAATGAGTGTGTAATAGTTGACTGCCATGTGTTGTCCTTGGCTCGCCCAACACTTCTTTACATGGTCTTTGTCAAGGCCTAGAGCTCTCTGCTATTAATTCTGCAATCTGAAGCCAACTAGCGGTCCCGGGACTTTCTTTGCGGTAAATTACTTACAATATTCCCTACACACAAAATGGGTATTAGATTTGATTACTTAGGCCTATATAACTAAATTATGAATTGTGAACATTGAGATTAATTTTCTTCCAATTTTACCCAACTTTGACAAATCCAGAACTAATTTATCAACTAAAACAAAAAACCAAAAATAAATAAGAAAATTTTCCCTAGTTTTGTTTGGGTATTCATTTTGCCCCATAGAAATTACAGAAATTATTAGAACTTTTTCTTTGATCCCAAACCTGCCAAAAAAAATATAAGGCTCCTGTTGAAGAGTTTTGGAATTGTGATTCCAGCTCTTAGTTTGCATATGGTGTTTGGTTGGACTTCAAAAATTAATTTCACACTTACTTTTGAAAACTCGTCGGAGGCAGCGAAAATTTGACTAATCGGTTCGTCCCACTTGGTCATTGAACAGTGTAATTTTTTTTTTGGGCAATGACATATGTTAATTTTATATATTCAACAAAAAAATATTTTCTGAATTTTAAAAAAAAATTATGATCTTTAATAAGAATTTTTGAGTTTGTTGTGTTTGGTTATGAGTTGCTAATTTTTGTATCAAATATCATATGCCTCACATCAAAAATTTCCCACTCAATTCAAAACTCTTTGAAAACTCATCACTAAACAAAATTTTCCGCACTCATTATAATTCCAAAACTCAACAAACTTAAAATACAACTCTATTTCAAATTATAGTTAGAAAATTCTACCAAAATACAACTTAATATTTTAATGTGACATAATTAGTTAAATAGAAAACCCGCTCAATCAATTGTTGCAGATTTTTTCATGAAAAAGTTGATTCTTATTAGTTCACCTAAGAACTGAAAATTCGTATGCCCACAGACTATTTTTTCCACTCTCTAAAAATGGTCCAATGAATAATTTTAAAAAAAAAAAAAAAGTCCAACCACATCTTATCAAGGAATGTAAAAGGAAATATCAACTTCGGGTCGCAAGAAACAGTATGTTCTGTTACAAGAGCAGCTACTGGGGCCCCCCACATTTTAAAAGGAAAAATAGTTCCAAAATTATATAAACTGTGTATAGTATTGTAAGCTTAAAAATAGGGCCATCTAAGCTTATCAAGCCAGGTCTGGACTTTATCTAAACTGAAAAGGCCAAAATATTTTCGTTAAGCGGTTTATGACGATGATTTATATTGTTTTTTTGGTTCTTTCAACTTTGTAAATATTTCGGTGTGCAATGATATCATATGTATTTTAGCATAAAATTACTTAGATTGACACAAATTCGTGTAAGCCTGTAAGCTTGTGAAACTTACCTAATTTTTGAATTTACGCAAATTTGTGTTTCAACTTACTATTTTTGTGAAATCACTTATGTAAATTCGCTTAAAAACTTGCGTAATTTTGTGTTACACCGAAGAATTTTTCTTTCAGCTTTTTTCCTTAAATTTTTGTACCTTTAGTTCAAATATCTTAACTAGGGATAGCAGCGTATGTGTCCGACCCGCTCGACCCGACACAATTTGCGGTGGTTGCCGGACAAAAAACGTGGCCGAGCCAGATACAAGCCCAGGAATTTTCCATTTTTCGTGGCGTTCAGGTCAGGTGGAAACCGCCACTTTTAATGAATTACCCGGACCGTCCGTCCAACCCCTTATTTTTCTCCATTTTCTCCTCTGTCTTGCCCCAATTTTTTTCATTTCATTGTTTTGTAGCACTAGGTGTTTTCAACTCTCTCTCTCTCTCTCTCCACACTTGAACGGAGACGAGCGATGAGTGTTGATCACCGACAGTGGGTGAGATTAGCGAACGATCGACGATCAGCGACAGTGGCGACAGCAAGCAGCAATCGAAACATCGATTCAAAGGTATTCTTTCTCTTCTTCTCTTTGATAGATCTTCTCTTCTCAACCTTTGTTTGTAAGTGTGTTGTGTATTTTTATTTTTTATTTAGTAATTTGGGGCTTCAGCTTTGATTTTTCAATATGGGTTATATTTGATTTATGGTATTTGCTCTCTCTATGTCTTTTCTCTTTCTTCTATTGTCTCATGGTGGTGTTTGTTGATGATTAATGAAAATTGTCTCACAAAATTAAAAGCAATGCTCTCTGTTCTTTCAAATGAACCATGACAGAAATGTTTTTTTTTTTTTTTTTCTTGTTGGAATTGTTTGTAGTTTGTGGTGAACCTATTTTAGTTGTTTGCTATTGCCTTCTAAAAAACCCCAATTCTTCGATACATATATATATATATATATATATATATATATATATATTTGTGCTTCATTGTTTATCTTGTTTTCTGTTGAATTCTTTGCTAGTTTATGTGATTGTGAAGCCATTTTATAGGAGGCTTTAGGAAGCAAATTCTAATTTTGCGTGGCTAAGGTGTTTGTTGTAATGCTTCTTAGACAAGTTTATGATTGTAGGAGGTTTTATGTGGTGTATATCCCCTTGTAATATTAATACAAAACTTTATATTTTTTGTTTGGCTGAAAAAAATAATTCCCCAAATGTTAGTTATACAAGTAGTGGGAATGCATTCAAAAAAACTTCACATGTTCCCCCCTTTATGCGTCATGATTCCTCCCCAGTGAATTTCCTATGCCACTTGATCATTTGTCATCCCTGTGGGGCATTGTGGTTGTTCGAAGTTCCAAAAAATCAAAAATTATTATTGTGTTGCACAATACAGACACTTCCTGTCAGACCCAAACCCGCCCTAAAAGTTTGCGTCGTTAATCGATCAGTAATTCGAGATTACCAAAGGCCTTTCTGTACCAATAAAATTAAAATAAACGGCTAGCGGAATGCAATAGACAAAAACACCATAGTCCAATGAGTTTGTGATCTCTCTCTAATGTATCACTAGCTACCATTGTTTTTGTTATTTTTGTTTGGGATGAGTAGCGTATATTCTGATCTGCTCAAATTAATCGAACCGAACCGATCCGTCACATTTTGGATGGATATATGATGACGAGCAGATGGTTATACAGATTGATTTTTTTCAATTCGCCTAGTTTTGGATGAATGGCGGATTTGATGTTATTTTAACTACAACCAAACCACCAAACCACGAGCACCTCTAATAATTTGTAAGACTTTGTGTTTTCAATTTGTTTAGATATTCTATTTGTGTTTTCAATTAAAAAAGAGTTAAGATATTCTGTTGTGTTTTCAATTTATTTTCAATTTGGAATCCTTTTATCGAATGACAAGGGTTGATATTTAGTGTTTTTGTGTGAAAAATGCAAGGCCTAATTTTGTCATTCTTTTTAAAAATCAAATTAAATAGTTTTTGAATAAAAAAAGTAATGAAATAGTTTTGATAATGCATGGTTTTCTTATCTATATTTATTATTGGTATTTAACAATTTACTTGATAATCTTTTAATTATGTTGAGTTAGATTGTAATCTAAAAAAAAGTATTGACAAGTTATATTATGTTCAAAATTTGTAAAAGTTTAAACCGTCAAACCGATTTGTATCCAACTGTCAATCTGCTCAATCCACATCCGTCAATTCAGCGGACAAATGCGGATTGATTTTTTTTAATTCACCCATCCGACGGACAGATGATGGATTAGAGATTTTCCGATCGCAACCAAATCACGAACATCCTTACTTTTGTTATTATTATCTTTTTTCTACTATCGTTGTAATTGCCTCCTTGTTCTACATTGCAATGTGCGACGTTGCAATGTTGTTTGGAAGGATGCTGCAGTTATTTTGCTAAGGATGCTCATATATATATATATATATATGTAGTTGAGTATTTAGAATGTTCCAGTTTCATTAAATAATGGGTAGATGCAACAGCCTTTAGTTGACGCATTTTTATGAAATGGTTGACGCCTCCAAATGCAATGGACCTCTTTGTTGTTGCTTTATATATGTGAGATAGCGGTGTTAAAAAAAAAAAATTGGTGAAACGGTAAAATAATCCAATCGAGAGTTTTGAGGATACTTTAGGTAAATTGACCAAGGCCACACAGCCTAGTTCGGTCTGCAAGGGTCAGAGATTTGAGGATTACCCTCTTCATTGTCCAGATTTGTGGGTCAATTTGGAAATCTAGGAATTTGTTTTTTTTTTATTCTCCTTTCCAAAGTCCATATCACCATCCCTCCTCCCCTCGTGGCCGATGACATGTACAGGTTGATCGGCTCTTATGCCCCCATCAAAGCCATCAAAACTCCTTTTAAATAGTTTTAATACACAAGTTTTGGTCAACTCGTGAGTCAAAATATATGTGACATTCACGTCACAAATGTGGACTCTTGTGACTGAGTCAAAATAACGGAAATATTTACGTCTTCTATGACATAAATGTGAGATTCACAAGTGCGATTTACATCGAAATGTGAACTCCTAATCAAAATAATGGGGAGAGTCACGTCTTTACAACAGGTTTATGCTGTAATGTGTTCACTTCTATGTGCAGATTAATCATACACTTTTGCTTGATCAAATCAATTAACTTAAAAATTACCAATTAAATGAAGATAGAATGGTAACTAAAGTCTTGTCTCACGTTTATTATTTGTGAAACCAATGTTCATATAATCTAAATGTAATACAACCATAAACAAGAGCAAATGCAAAAACCTAAAAGAAAACTACGCCACACTTAACCCTGATCTGTCCGAGCTTCTATCCAAAACAAACTATTCTGCCTTGCCCATTGTACGGCCAAAAAGTATGCCGTTCGCTGAGACTGCTCTTAAAGTAGATGACTAACTTGCATACATCATCACATCTTCATAACTAACAAGGAACCAAACACAATCAAGGCCACAATTAACCCATATTTAATAAACATAATGTCAGTTTCCAATTTTTGAATCTTCGCGATCAGAAATTGAAGTTGTTCATTGACAATTTGCACATTGTCCATTTGCACTGCGATCCGAAATTGAAGTTGTTCATTGACAATTTGCACATTGTCCATTTGCACTGCTTCTAGCTGTCTTGCAATTTCATCACCTCTACATAGCGAATTTGTAGGCAAGCTCCATTGAATACCTGCTCTTTTATGACATTTATAACAATTTTTGTTGTAATATGTCAAGTGATCTGAGCTAGTACCATTAACACTTGAATTTGTCATCTACAAATGATGTTTAAAAAAAACAAACAAACAAACAAACAAACAAACAAACAAACAAACTGAGAGAGAGAGAGAGAGAGAGAGAGAGAGAGAGAGAGAGAGAGATAACAAACAAAAAACTCATTGAACTAGCTATATCTTCATGTAGTTCTCCAGCAATGCTTTCCATTTTGTCCTCAATCCTTTCACATATATTTGTTTTATACTATCTTCCACAGTACCATCAATAACATCCAATGATGTCATCTATTTCTATACACAGAGCCTTCATATGAACATTATGAACAAACCCATCAAAGTATGATTTTAGTAGAAAATAATTGTTTCTATATACAGGGCCGGCCGACCCCAATTGTTTGGCTCAACTTTCACCAAATCTCAAAGTGAAAAATCTAATGTTGTGTTTGGTTAGGAGATTTGAGGAAAGATTTAGAAAGGAAAATAAAAAAAGTAGGTGAAATGTAAATAAAACATCCTTATATTACACATTTTCCTTTTCCCTTTCCCCTTCCCATTTTAAATTCATCCCCAAATCCCCCAATCAAACCCAGCGTAAATATCTCAATAGCCTTTCAATACCTCACTACAAACCCTACATAGACAATCCAAAATGTGCAAGAAATGAACAACCCTTCAAATCTCAGCTTTACAAAACCAAACTTGGAAGCAAGAGCTAAAGAAATGAGACCATTTCTAACTTCAAAAACAAAATTCACAATTCATGTCATGAATCAACCCCATAGCCCTCTAACAAACAGAATACACACCCAAACCCTAAACCCATTTTGTATGGAATGAGAAATGTGTAACAAGTTAGAAAATTAACGGAAAAATCAAGCTTAATAGATATTCCATTTTGAAATTGAAGTGTTTATTTTCTAATCTTCAATGAGGTATTTTGTAAGAAACTGATTTCAACCACAAATACATACATTGAATTAGATCCATTGCTAAATTGAAGAGAAAATTCCATAAAATCGTCGTTCGTCGTCGTCAAATACATACACTGCAAAGTTGGAGGACAGACATCTAGTTTACCTCTTAATCGTCGTTCGTCGTCGCTGATGACCGAGAGCGAGAGAGAGAGAGAGCTGTGTCTTTTGACTCAAAGGTATGAAGCATATTCTTTTTATAAAGAATTTGAATGTCTTTCAAAACATTGGAAAAAGAGTAATGGTTCGCACCTCTAAAAGTTAGAGTTTTAGAAGAGTTCTAATCTGCGATGTGATTTGATATTTTTGTTTTTATTTTGTTTTGTTTGTTTGTTTTTTTTTTTTTTAAGG